GGTTGAACGAGCCTCCCGGAACAGCAGGAGTAACAACAAGGTTGACCATAGAGGTCATAGCGACCGGGTTGACCATAGAGGTCACGACAGTAAGGGTTGGCAAGCCAGTTGCCCCGGGGTTTTGATCCCTACAAACATTAGCAGCAGCAACAGCGTTGGTGACAATTGCCATTTTTGAAAAATACAACAGAATTTCACTATTCTACATTCCAGAAATTAAATTTAACACTAGAAAATTCCAAAGTTGGCAATTTAATTCAAAACTAGTCTCACCACTTCCCTAGAATTGAACATGGTAATGAATGTTTCCAAGAAGACTGGAGGGGTCACATTGGTCCCACTTAAAACCCAGTAAACCTTAGACAAAACTTTCAAGAGCATGTTGACTCCTAGTCCATAGGAAACAATTTTTAGAATTAATTTTTCCAAGGGCCAAACTAGGTTAAAACAAATCAAGGTCCAAACTTACAAGCAATTTAAAAATTGCTAACCAAATTACAAGCAATGAAAAAAATTGCTATAGCAATTACACACATATAAAATGCTTCCAACATGCTAAGCAAACAACCTTGCTTAAAATAAAATAGGCAAGTAACCACTACTAAATCTCAAGCAAAAAATTGCTTCAATGATAAAGACAGTAACCAATCCATAAGGATTTCAATTAGTCCAAAAAATTCTTTCCACGCTTAGGTATATTCCTGTTCAACACAAAGGTTAGTAGTCCAAACATTTTTGTTTTGACATCCCAAATACTATTCATTTGGTTTTGTATTTGTTTTTCCAATCCCTTTCGAATAGGTATTCTTGTAAATATAATAAATCACTTGAAACCATCTAGAAAACTATTTAATAACAAAATTAACTAATCAATTAAAATGCTAGATGAGTTACAAAAATCAATCTATATAGGAATTGAATTAAAAGTTAATAGTCAAGAGTTATATATATATATAATTATTACACAAGTTACAAAGCCTTATACCTACTAAATAATTAAAATTCTAACCATGAGTTACATATGAATTTAATTCACAATAAACATGTAAATAAATATAGACAAGTTACAAAAATAAAATTTATAGCTCCACAATTATAATTTTTAATTAGCAAGAGTTACGTATGAACTTATTACACATTAAACATGTAAATAAATATAGACGATTAACATGTAAATAAATAATTCTAGAAATTACAAAACAACTAACATGCAAATTACACTAAAAAATTAGAAAGTAATTAGCATGCAAATTAGATTATTATAGAGGTCAAAAAAAAAATGTTCTTATAAACTGGAAAAATTAAAACGTAACATTTCAAATCTTAATTCCAATCATGCATTCTCAAAAAAAAAAAGAAAAAAAAAAGTAGACAATACAATTCTTTGAAATAGTTCCGGTTAAGTATGAATTAATATTTTATATTCATACATTAATAATAACAAACAACTACTATGCAATAGTAGGCAATAAAAATGAAAACAATGGCATTCAAATCATATGAATTTTATATTCCAATCATGACTATCATAGAAGTTGTGGGCAAAAATTATATTATGCAAATATGACACGGAAACCAAAGAAACTAGGCATTGTAACCAAAGCAATTCAGAGTGGCATGCTAGGGATTAAAACTACTTGACCTTAGATATTTTATGACTATGGGTCAACGCAACATCATGCAAAATCAAATTTTGTTTTATTTACCGTAACAGAATGAGTACTAATCGAATTTTAAATGAATCTAATCAATCAATTTCATGGAAAATATATATAATAAAAATTTGTTTTAAGTTTGTTGTATAAAATTTAGTGGTTATATAGAACAAATAGATTCATATATTAACAATCTAAATTCCATGCTGAAAATTATAATTAGACTGAACAGAAATCCACAATAAAATAAAACTAGCAAAAGGAAACATACCGAAACCTGCATAGATAGTCTCCTTAAAACAGATTCATCGCTTTACCGGTTAGGTGCTGGAGGGTGTTCGACGTCTGTCTCTCAGGATACGATGGTTGGACCAGCTACAACAATGCACCGATTGAGTAGCTTTGGAGAACAGAATTATGGTAGCATACTCTCACTAGGAAGAATATAAAATTGGAGGAAAACTTATGAAAACAGGAAGAGCAAATTTTCTGGTAGTGAAAAAGGAAGGAGAGTGCCTCCTTTTATACACATGGAGGGAGAGTGGAAAAGACTCTTGCCATCAAGGCCTATCACAAATGCAGAAATGAATTATGTATTAAACCAGCAAAACTGCTGGATTAATCCATCATCATTATAGAGGAGTTACACACATTTTATATACCTTTGTGATGTGTATAATTCTGCAGCCCACAACTCTGGCTTGGCCCAAAAAGATTAAGATAGGTGGGCCAAGCCCAACCATACTCAATTCAAGCCTCAGCCCAAGATCAAGATCCACGGACCACGGACTTGGACTCGGCCCCGACTTGGTCCGGGCGGGCTGGCGACACGCATTGTAGCTTACTTTTGTGTTCCTTTCGGATACGATAGCCCTACAGTTTAGACTCCCGTGGTTCTTAATCTAATCTCATAAGTGCAATGTCAAATAGATAAAAACAAAAGAGTCCAAATACGGAAAATCTTTTGAAAAATCAATTTTGAATCAAAATGCAAAAAATGGACTGCTTTGCCCGATTACAAAGTCACCACCTAAATATTTTTGGAAAATTTAGAAAACTCATGACTCGTGCCAAAGGCCACTTATCCGTCATCACCAAAGTGTCTCGGCTCGGGAACTTAGGTACGAGAGGGGAAGGTCATGAATTGAACACCCCCCGCTCGACCAATCAAAGATCGGCCTTTACTAGTCATGATGTGATTCTTATTTATATTATATGCTCTTGTTCTGATTATTAGGCTATCATTTTCATGTGTTGCACACAAGTATAGACTAATTTGCAAAAATTGGAACACTTTGATTTCAAGTTTGTTTGAAAATTGTTTCAAATATATACCACTTGAAAACGTGATCTTATATGCACATTACTCAAATTATCCCAATTCAAGCAATTAGCCTTCATCCACAGGCACTCAAGCAAGTATATCAATTAAGCACTTAACCTCATGGTAATCATGCTTGACATGGCAACAATCACACACATGCAGTTTGCTAAAGCAATAAATGCTCACCTAGTACTTCGAGGCGAGCCAAAACAAGCAAAATAATTAGAAAACATGCATGAATTAGTCTATACTTGTGTGCAACACATAGTAATGATAGCCTAATAATCGAAACACGAGCATATAATGTAAATAAGAATCACATCATGACTAGTAGAGGCCGATCTTTGACCGGGCGAGCGGGGGTACTCAATTCATGACCTTCCCCTCTCGTGCCTAAGTTCCCGAGCCGAGACACTTTGGTGATGACGGATAAGTGGCCTTTGGCACGAGTCATGGGTTCCCTAAATTTCTTAAAAATATTTAGGTGGCGACTTTGTAATCTGGCAAAGCAGTCCATTTTTGGCATTTTGATTCAAAATCGATTTTCCAAAAGATTTGTCAGATTTGGACTCTTTTGTTTTTATCTATTTCACATTGCACTTGTGAGATCAGATTCAGAACCACAAGAGTCCGAACTGTAGATCTATCGTATCCGAAAAGAGCACGAAAGTCAAACTACAACTTCTGGTGACTCTGCTGGAAAAAGATAGAGAACTTGACTCGAATTGCATGATGTAAAATTTTATCTACACTTACATGTTCTTTGCATTGCATTTGCATTGGTGTGCTTAAGTCATTGTGTTTGCCATCTGCTATTCCTGGACGATTTGCCGGAGGCTTGCCCAAAAGCTTGCCAAAAGGCTGACCGGTCGTGGGCTTTGCCATGTTGGGAAGACAACCTTTGGATCTGGACTACCGCTGTACCGTTTGATCCTCCTTTTCACTTCTCAGTGTTAGGTGTGAGAGGTATATTAGGTAGTCTTGCTGAGGTACCCTCTTTGACCAATCGACCTAGTGCATATAGTAAGTAAGCTAAAAACGTGGAGCAATTAAGCTAATAAACAAGCACAAGGAGGGGAGGCTATCCCCTCCATTTTTGGGACTTCAATACATGATTTTTAGCCTCTGAAAATCAGTGGTAAAAATCTTAAAACAGTTGATAAAAAGGTGAAAAACACAAGGGTAAAAGCCTATGAAACAAGATTCAAAGAAAGGTGATCCACCCCTCTACCTTTAATGGCTTTAAACCACAAGTTTCAGCCCAAAAATACAGGTGATAAACCACTCAAAAACAGCAACAAAAGATGAGAAAGAGATGGTACAAACGAACTAGAATGTATACCTCTTGAAGAGGAATGATCCCTTGAATTCCCAAACCACTAATTTCACACTCTCAAGTGCTAAAATGCAAGCTTAAGCACCTCAATAAAGATCCCTCAAGGTTTGGTTTAGATTGTCTAGGCAAAGGTTATGTAAGTTGCAAGGGACAGAGAGAAATGTAGAGAGAGAAATATTTTCCAAAACTTTTGCTCTCCAAATTTTTTCTAACCGTAAAAAAAAGAGAGGGAGTCATCTATACATAGAAATATATGAGACCACCTCAGAAATATCTATACAGACACAGCTAGTGCAGTGCATGCATCTGTGGAGACAGCTAGCACAGCTGGCAAAAAGATCTAAAAATACACACAAGTGGCCGACAGGCCACTAATAGTGGGCAATAGGTCCCTGGATGGTCAGGCCTGAAAAGCTGCTGTTTTGGTCCAAAACAAGGCACAAGGTTTGTAGGTTCAAAACTGAGGTTTCTTGCTAAGGAAATCAAGCATTTGATAACCGTACACATTTATCATTGAGTGATCAATCTGTCACATCCCGAACCCGCCCCTAAAAGTTCAGGCATGACCTATGCATACATGGGCATTAAACCTGATATACACAATATAGGGGGCCTGAACGGAAGCATAAAAAAAAAACATAACAAAAACAAACTCCATTGAGCTATGACTATCATACCAGGATCACAGACATCATCACAGATAACTACTATACCAAAACATGCATCCGAGCATCGGTTACATACATATATATATATACAGATCCAGCCCTAGGATTGGGCGTATGGCAAAAATATTATTTACAGTCCAACTATAATCGACAACGAAAATACGAACCCAAAAGCCCAACAAAACTTCATTAGATGCACGGGCGTCTCCAAGTGCCTGATTATACTTAGGTTGACAAAAAGGAGACGGGTATCAGGTTTAGGACTGACCACCCGGCTGAGCACCTACAGAAACTGACAAATACAGAGTGAGCTACGCTCAGTGAATAATAGTATACTCAAAGTAAGCTACATATTATGTACTTCAGAGTTCACATGGTTAAGCCAAAGTTGTGTCACCTTCAGAACGGCCCTAGGCCCAGACATAACAGAATGACCATTGGCCCAGAAATAGCAAAACGGCCATTGGTCCAGAAATAGCAGAACGGCCATTGGCCCAGAAATAGCAGAAATGTACACAAACTTCCTTCTCGTTTACATTCACATTACTTTGTAATCAACATACACGGAATGTAGTGATTTACGGAAAGCAAAACGATAATAACGTTAAGCATTAGCCGGTAAATGAAAGTGTGACCATTGCACTATTACTCACAGTGTTGTGGCGGGACGCGACTTCCTCCCGGAGTGTGTCCTACACACATAGAACTCACAATTTAGTTCAAACTCTTCTTAAATTCACATTCCAATCATTAATTTCCAGTACATTAAGAAGCACTTTACACAATTCAAATATTAGAGGGTCAAACAGGTCAAATGGAGCATTCCATGTTTTTCACCTTGGGCCGCACGTGCAGCTGTGAGCCCCGCACGTGCGGCAAATGCTCCCACACGTGCGACAGTGATGCCTCGCACGTGCGGTTTAGACAGTGTTCAAGCCCAGAATTTAGCCCAATTGCCACACGTGCGGCAGTTACTCCCGCACGTGCGGCGATTATGCCCAAAACCTGTCCGAAATTCATTCAAAATCCAACTTTTTGGTGGCATCAGCAAGGTCCAAACTAGATCTTTAAATTCCTAAAACATGGTCTAAACATCATGTAATTTAGGAGACACAACATGTGGGCACATGATTCCATAGTCAAACATAAATCTCATACAAAGTATTTTAAGCATCTATTCATTCTTGCCTCTTGCATTTCATGAGCATAACATAAACATGAAGAATTTTATACAATAAGGTCATCCAAGTCCATAATTGAGCATGATCATGCATAGATAAGGGATAGGATGAAATGAGACACTAAATCAACCAACATCAACCTATTTTCTCAATTTATTCTATACACATCTCATATCAAAGAAAATTCTACTCATACACCACAAATTCCCATCCAAGACAAGAGAGGAGGTAATTAAGGTATAATCTACACAAAAATTTTACATACCTTGAGTTTAAGTCTCCCAAATTCTCAACCTCCTTGGATAATCTTCTTCACCCTACCTCTCAAACCCCTCTCTAACCCAATCTTTTCTCTCAAGAGATAATTGTCTCTAAGTCAAGATGTTTTAGGGACATAACACATAGATATATATATATATATATATATGATGTGAATAAGACAAAAAATCAATCGTTTGATCGTCCCAAATTGAAATTTCACCGAAATGCTTATTATTACCTAAAAATTATGCCGATCTCAAATGTAACATCAATTTCGAATTATCAAGCCTCTAAGGCTCCCAATTTCTGTTTTACACATTTAATTATAACAGATGCTTTCTTAACCAATAGATATAAACACAAAATTTGTCATTAAACATTTCCATGCATAAAATCAGAGACTTAAACATGTCAGAAACACATGCGAGGGTCAGGTTATTACACAATCAGTGACGCCCAAGTCTTAAGGGCCGTAAAAAATGGGGTGTCTACACACGCGCATGGCAATTTTTTCATAGTCAACTTAGACCACAGTCTTGCCTAAGTCCATCCTTGAAGTATCCATAACTCGTTTCCTTCAAAAAATCTGGATGCCCCAAAGGGCTCACACCCTTAGGCAAAAAATGGGATTTAAATACTCATCAATGCTCTCCTCTACAATCATTGTGGGATAGAAGGTTTCACACCTTTCTCAACACCTCTTTCATGAGACTAACTTAATGAGTCAATTTCTCATTCAAATTTTAATGGCTTTTTGTCACTCTTTGTGTGGTGTAAAGATTTCACTACAAAGAATCTAAACTCACTTTAGTCCACCTCAATTGAGGATTAGCACCCACTTTAATATTGCATTAAAGTCACTGTAAACTATTAGTTTTCCAACAGGTTATGCATATACATGACGATGACAATAAAGGAACAAATACATAGTAGTCCTAGTGAAATGAAAATATTCGATAAGTATGGAATAGGTATGTGCACAAGTAACAATGAATGGGTAAAGTGCAAGTCAAATATTGACATATTAGTTGCCGAGATGATTTTTTTTTTAAATAAATAAATAAATAATTTGTTGTTTGAATGAAATGTTTGGATGAAAAGTGAGAATGGAAAAGGTTGAGAGGGTGCAAGTGAAGTCTGTGTGGAGTGGAAGTATAATTTGTATGAGGTGCAAATGTAGTGTGTGTGGGGTGCAAGTGTTGGAGGATTCAATGATTTGCAATTTTTCACATCTTGGTTATGCATAGACATGACAATGACATTTTATTTATAAATACATGGTAGTCCTAGTGAAATTAAAACATAACTCCTTAGTCATTTGGTTAAAAAAATCAACAGACAAGTAGATCTGTAGGAATGGGTGTCGTGTGCAAGTCCAACATTGACATCATAATAGGGGACATGTAAATATTGAAAAAAAAATGATTGTTTTGAATGAAATGACAATTTATTTATAAACACATGGTAATCTCCTAATGAGGCACAGTGGCCAAAGTAAAGAAACACTTTAATACAAAATTACCCCAAATCTTAGGTGTACACAAATTACATAATGACCCAATTCCAACAATGTATATCGTCATAGACATTTCATTAAACACTTAAAGGGCACAACATAATTACCTAACAAGTTCATATACAAGGATCCAACAACAACAATTATTTATGTTCTATGCATTTTAACAAATACTTAGCATGCAAGGATTCAGGCTTAAATCAATTTGTGCAGTTTCTTCCAATTGCAAACACTTAAATTAGTAGATACTTTATGTACATGGATTATTTCTATTTAAAGCATCAATATTGAACTCACATCAACTAAATTTAAGCAACACTTCAACATCTTACAAATCAATGAAGCCAACTAAACTTTTTGTTCTTCATGCATTTCACCTCAACTATAATTAGCATTTATATATGATTACAATTAGGTTAATCAATTACTTTTGGTTAAAGAGAGAAGCATGTACTAGCTTTACCTCTAAATTTAAGATATCATCCTTCAATTTTGCCAATGGAGCATGCAATGAGCCAAAGTGAAGGCACTGTAATATTTTGTCGACCGTCGTGGGGTTAGGACATAAAAAGGAATAGGGACAAAGATAATTGAATGAGCCAAATTGAAATCGACACAAGATAGAGGGAGAGACAGAGGCAGAGTAGAGCATAGAGTGGGAGATTAGCGTTTAACGTAGAGGGAGTGTGTGTGTGTGTGTGAGAGAGAGAGAGAGAGAGAGAGAGAGAGAGAGAGAGTGTGTGAAAATGGTGGCAGGGTTTGGAAAAAAAGAGAAAATGGTGGCTGGGTTTGGAAAAAAGAAGAAGAGATGAAAATGGTGTTGTTTTATTTGCAATATTCGATTCCCATGGGTTGGTAAAAAAGTTTCCACTGTCCAATCTTTTAGTAAATTGTAGTCATTCCCCATTAATTTGTTAATCTGATCTACTATTTCCACTGGACAGTAATTCTCCCAAATTATCTTTAAAACATATAACCAAATAAATTTTCAAATTTTATGTACTCCTTTTAGAAAATTATTATTCGAAATTGTTTCACAAATACAAACCAAACATGGCAACTAATTTTTTTTCCCTCATATTTTAACTATAAAAACCAAAAAAATATTAAAATCACCTATCCCCAAAACAACCCTTAATATTAAACAATGCTTCAAAAAGACATTTAACAGCTATCATTTTTTGTCTTGTTAAAATCTCAATATTTTCTTCTTCTTCTTCTTCTTCTTCTTGGTCATGTGAAAATTAAACAGTAAAACTGGATTGTCAGTATCCCATAAAAAATGCTATGATTCAAAATTTGCTATTCAAATTTAATGATCATAACATTGAGAATTTATTGGTTGGTTCAAGCGCAACGTCATGTGATATTTCATGTGTATTGTAATTGGTGGAGGGAATGAGATCTACAATTTTGTATTCAATAATTAAGAAATATAAAAAAAGTATAGTAATTTATAATTGGCTAGAGATATAGTCACGTAATGTCCCTAAACCAACTAATAATTTTTTTCTTAACATTAGTTGTGAAGCATGTGATAGTAATTGAAAAGGTCTCATGTGAGCAAAATGAAAAGAATATTATTGTTTAAGATCAAAAGTTAAATTTAATTTTCAAATCTAATTATATAAGAAACCAAGTTTCTCACTAAAAAAAAAAAAAACCAAGTTTCTCAGCATAAGTCTCGGCTTGGATTTCGTTGCAAAAAGTTGAATGAAAAAATTGACTTCTCAAAAATAGTTTTATAATATTCATTATGGTAATAGCAGCCAACAATAATTGATAAAAGGACGACTCCACTTTTATCACAGTTTCATCAATTAATTGTCGGTGGGTGGATTTTGATAGTTTAATTTAACAAAAACATGATTATTATAATAAATCCCTTTTACAATTTAACTCGCGGATTTATTAGTGTCAAGTTCGTAAAGGATATTTAGCATATTAATTGTGTAACATTACTTTCTGATATGAAATTATGGATTCAACTTTTATGGATATGTACTTATTACTTCTCTATTACGAAAGTAATATGTAATTAGTAGTGATTTGTAGTGAATGTTGCACATTATTGACTTTCTATTGTTATAAAATTACTAGCTGTTAGTAGTGATGGTTAGACTCTATTAACTTTTTAACTATTTTTATTGAAATAATCTAATACAATATTTCTCATATTTATAATTACTTTCTTACTGATTGAAAAAAAAAATTAAAAAATAAAATAATAAATAGTTTGTATTCAGTACATTGCTCAATAAAATCTTTAGCTCATGAGCCCACAAGAAACAACAGGTGGTTATGAGAGTTCAATTCATCTTGGTTAGCACATTATTTATACAAATAAATAAATAATTTGATCGAATATTTATAGCCACATGATTAAGACATAAGATCATGCTTGGTATAATGGAATAAAATGAAGTGAAAATGGAATAAGAGTATGAATGAAATATAAAGTAGAATGCAATGGAGTGTTCATTCACATTCCATTGTTTGGCTACTAATATGGATGAAATAGGAATAGAATAAAAATTCTCATTTATATCTTTGATTATGCCTATTAAACTAATGAAATGAATTTGAATAAGCTTTTATTTATTAATTTATTTTAACAAGCTAATAACAAACAAGTTAAAAATCCATATAGATCATGGTAATGGTGGTAGTAGTGGTGGCGATGGCGGCATTGATAGTGATGATTGTTGGCGCCATAATTAAACCATCAAGTTAAAAGATGACACGTGGCAGGTGAGGGTAAATACTCAGGTGTGCAAGCCTTTAAAGAACCATACCTTCAAAGCAACTTACGTTAGTAACATGTGCAAGTTCTTACAACTGGAGAATGGTTAGTCAACATGTGAGAAGCACAACTCATATCAGTCTGCTATATATTCACTATCGATAACTCGCATCGCTCTGTATGAGATATGATTGAGTGTGAATATATTGTAAGATTTGAGAGGGTCAAACATGTTGTTTGAGGGATTAGAGATGTTTTAGACCAGTGTAACTAGATGGGTTGATGTCTCTATTCTGGCTTGTTTCGAGTTTCGACTATAGAGCTCCTATATACAGGTGTTCTCAGTGGTCGCATGATCCATTGGCCAATATGAGTTTGTTTTAAGTTTGGGAAGATTCAAATAGAGATGCAGTAGCATTACACCAACCCATGTGCGAGTGAGAGATGTTGGTAAATGGGTCGGGTTTCGGACCTGGGTTTGGACGCCCATGGTGGCATGATCCATGATCCATGTAAGACCCATATGAATTTAAATTTAGAGCTCTCCTAAGAGATGAGGATAGCTTACCATCCCATCTTATCTGGGATAAGGATGGGTAGTTACCTATCTCTATATATATTGATCATATCAATATACGTATTATGATAAGAGTGGAAAAGGGGAAGCAAAATGTAATATTGTATTGGAAAACTTTTTGAATGCTTTCAATCTCTCTGTCATTAGTGAAGTAAACACAGGCCCTTGTACTGTGAGTTGTGTGGTAATTGCTCGCATTGTAGTATCACTCTACTGCTAGGATTTCAACCGGTGATTTGGAGGCACATGATTCACTCATCAGATTCATTCTTTTCAAATTCGAGATATTTAGGTTTGGATTGAATCCATTAATCCGCTGTGTATAGCTATTCCCACACATTTAAAAATTCTAATAATAATTTAGACATTTTTTTAATTTTTTTTTTTATAACGGAAGAAAACACGCATTGAAAAAAGTTTAATAATTGGCACAGTAAGACAAAGAACAAGTGGTGACTTTGTGGTCCACGTGTTTGTTTCTCTTCCACTGTCACCTCTAAAAAGCGTTTTGTGCAAAGAAGCCAAATTGGAGAGTACGCAAGTGTCCTTTCAAGTGGGAAACATGGGGTCCGTTTGGTTTGTATTTCTGAAAAATTTTTGCGAAATTTTCTCTACAAATAAGTTTTTAAAAGTAATCAAACCAAACAAATTTTCCCAAAAAAATTTCTCAAAACTTGTAAACCAAACAAGTTTTCCAAACAAAAAATTTTTTTTTTATAACGGAAGAAAACATGCATTGAAAAAGGTTTAATAATTGGCACAGTAAGACAAAGAACAAGTGGTGACTTTGTGGTCCACGTGTTTGTTTCTGTCCCACTGTCACCTCTAAAAAACGTTTTGTGCAAAGAAGCCAAATTGGATAGTACGCAAGTGTCCTTTCAAGTGGGAAACATGGATTGCTAATTTGCTACTTCCCCAAAGGGTAAGGTACTATGACCTTAATATATATATATATATATATATTAAATTACAAATTGTGTGAGCCGAGTATAGAAATTGCACAATCAACAAACAGAGCACTCCCAAGCCCATCATTGATGGACCCAAGTTCAATCAAACCCACTAGATTACAGAAGTTCGATGTCGAGTACGTCTTTTCACCGACTATATGAAATGCCTAAAAGATAGTGCTGATATCAAGAGCATTAATGTTGAGTACCAAGGACAATTAGGCAAGCTATCCCAATCAAAGTGGGCCCAAGCTGTCCATTTTTGGAGGTGTAATAGGGACGTGAACCCTAACATTATGGTAGTGATGATGATCAAACTACATGAAGAACTATATACACAAGAAACCTCTATATAAGGAGAAGAGCTAGAAGAAGAAAGGTATGCACTTACCACCCAAAACATTTACACACTCTCACTCTTGACAAACCCTCTAATTTGATCGCCAGAGTGCTAATTCTGGCACCCCCGACAGAGTGTTCCTTATTTTAGGCACCGGAGCAAGGATTCATTAAAGGCCTATTTGGGATGAAGAAGTATTGCGAAACCATCCCTCACAACTGGCACCGTCTATGAGAATACTCAAACTCATCCATGGCAGATCCAACTAATGATCCTCTAACTACTAAAGTTGATACCACAGCACCCGGAGGGTCTTTCAATCCAGATGGAACTCTTGTACGACAAGTCTTAAATTTTGATCCACAAAATCCATCCTTACCACTGATGTCCACCAAAGATGCAATACATATGATGTTAGACCAAGCCAAACGTAATGAATAGTGTCTTGAATTTATGGCAATTGAGAATGAACGACTATGCCAAGAGTTGGTGAAATCTCAAAAGCATCGCCCCAGGAGCATGGCCAATCTCCATTAAGGGGAGTCGACCAACATCATCCCCGGAGACGCGGTGATAGCAATAGCTCTACTAATTCATCTCGAGGTGAGCCCAGATAACGTGACCGTGATATTAACTTGAGCTTGTCTGATAAAGAAAACTCTCCGCAGACAGAATAACAAGTACGTAAATGAAAAGATGAAGATTTTGATTTAGAGGATAGGCACAATCCATTTATCTGATAGATAGCTAAGGCTACCTTGCCCAAGAAGTTTAAGGCTCCGTTATTTACACTCTATGATGGAAAGTCGAACCTTACTGATCATGTTCATCACTACAAGCAAGCCATGACACTGCATGCAGATGATGAAGCACTAATGTGTCGTATTTTCCCTAGTAGCTTTTATGCTGTTTGGCTATTAGATGGCAGTACAAACTTGAACTAGCTTCCACCAACCCTAGAAATCTTTCTGGGGTAGGTTCATCACCAACAAAACATAGCCCATACAATCGAATTCCTTGTGAGCAATAAGATTGGACCCAACGAACTCTCCAAGTATACTCTGCACATTATTGGGAGTGTTTCAACCTTGTTAATGATGACTGTAATGTTGCTATGGTTGTTTCAGCCTTTAAAATGGTACTCCACCCAGACAGCCCACTTCGGAACTC